GAGTTGGTTTCATATAATTGGACAGATCACAAATTACATGGTACTCCCGGTGCACGCAAGAATTTCTGGTAATGTATTGTTTTGACCAATTTAATTACCTATCCGGTTTAGTACCTTAAGTTATTACCAGCAAAGTGGTGTTTGGGCTGAAACATCTTGTTTTCTTTTCCCTTATTTGCAGATGTACAGAAACATTTAGTATTCGACAGCACCTCGAATAAAATTGTTTTCAATAAGAGAATAACTATACTTTAACTCAAAAAACAAAAGATATATAGAAACAAAACTAAACAGAGTGATAGCGTTTAGCCAATAACTTATCATCAGACAGAAGAGAAAAAGCCTATGAGTATCTAAATGTCATAACTACGCTTAATATTGTCATTTTTTTCAAACACTTTTTGATATTAGAAGAATTCATAAATCACACATAACTGAATTTCGTAATGCAGAGTACACTAAATAGGTTTTGGAAATCAGAACAGAGTTGACTCTGCCATAGCTTGCTGCACAATATAGTTTCGCCAAGGAAACAGAGGCCAGAGATGTAAATTATACTGATGAGTGAATTCCCATGTATATTAAAAAACCAAAGTCATTAGCCCGACAAAAAAAGAATCACCAAAAGAAGGACAGAATGTTTTGTGCAGGTCAGAATCTTTCAGGGATGTGTGAAAGATAAGAGGAAAATTGTTAGATTCCAACCAGATATGCCTCCAATAGATTGTTGTCATCTGTGAGAGATCCTCCTTTCGTCTTAGACCTATTCACTAGCCCAGTACTACGACATTCTGTTGTAAGAAAAGAGAGTAAGAATATTCAATCGAAAATTTGGTTGTTTAGCAAGTCAAGATGAGATTATTTTGTAAGAAAAGAGAGTAATAATACTTATATGCTCAAGTCAGGTGAATAATTCTTAGAGTATAAAATTAATTAGGTGTACTTGCTTCTGGGGATGAATTGTTTGATATTTTGATGAAAATGGCCGACATATATATATATATATATATATTTCAAACTGGACCACCATATTTCCTCCACACAAAAAAACTGGACCACTACGTCACCCAAAAAAAAAACTGGACCACTATATTCGCCACCATCGATAATCACCTTTCACTAGGGATTTGCAATTGGCGTTTATGATTTAAAAGCCACATGAATCGTACGACAGATAAATTAATTGATTTTAATTGATTTTTTTATAGTTGTGATCTGAAGTCATTGTCATTCAATAATATAATTTTTTTTATACGAAGCACTTGGCAGCTTTTTATCCCACTGACTATGATGGAGACATTCTGGAATTATTAAATGAGACAATATAAATTTCATATCAATAAGTACTTTATTTCTACTGTAGCAAGTCCATGGCATAAAATTTACGTCAAAAGAGAGAGTGTAGCTTGCAAAATAAATTACAATTCATGCCTATAAAAGGCGTAGGTTGAAAACATAAAACCTCGAACTTAACTTTAAGTAACCATCATTCTTTCAGTACATGAACGATCATATGGAGATACAGATCCCTTATACTATCATCTTCTTCACTTTCTTCTGCTTTTTCTTTGTCATCCACAAGCTATCTTCTTCCACAAAACCGATCAAAACCTTACCTCCGGGCCCATGGAAATTACCTCTCATAGGAAATCTTCACCAACTCATTGGCTCACTACCTCATCGTACTCTAGCAAATCTTGCAAACAAGTATGGACCCTTCATGCACCTTCAACTGGGACAGCTTTCTCATATCATAGTTTCTTCACCTGAATATGCCAAAGAAATAATGAAGACCCATGATCAGATCTTCGCAAACAGACCCAGAACTCTTGCCTCTGATATCTTTGCCTACAACAGCACAGACATCTTGTTTTCCCCATGTGGAAACTATTGGAGGCAACTTCGAAAGATTGGTACTTCAGAGATTTTCTCAGCAAAGAGGGTTCAATCATTCAGAAGGATTAGGGAAGAGGAGGTTTCAGAACTTGTAAGGAACATCGCTGAACATGACGGCTCTTTCATGAACCTCAGTAGAAATATATTCACAATCACGAATTCGATAATTGCTAGAACGGCCTTTGGGAAAAAGACAAAGAATGTAGAACATATCTTGGAAAATATGGAGAAATCGATAAAGATGAGTTCTGGGTTATCTATTTGTGATTTATATCCATCGCTGAAATTTATCAGTGTCATCACTGGGACGAGAGCTCGAATGATGAAGTTGCAAAAAGATGGAGACAAGGTTTTCGATGACATCATTGGAGATCACAAAGAAAAGGAGAGAAATAACGTTGGAGATGCAGAGGAGGATCTTGTTGATGTTCTTCTCAGGATTCAAAAGAATAATGACTTTGACATCCCCTTATCTCTTGACAACATTAAAGCTGTTCTTAAAGTTAGTCTTCGTGGGCACTTTATCATATATTAATAAATGTCAGATAATTTGTAATTTTATACACAAAATGCACAAGTGCACACACTCATCAATTCCTCTAATCAATTCTGTGAATTCCTTTTTCAGGACGTCATGTTTGGTGGAACTGACTCAACGGCATCTACAGCAGATTGGGCGATGTCAGAATTGCTCAAAAACCCAAAGGCTATGAAAGAGGCACAAGAAGAGGTATCGATACAACTGGAATTTTGAATGTTGCGTATCATAATTATTAGTGTTTTTACATTAATTTATAAATTTGAAATTATTGAGTTGACTTGTACATGAGTATTGTTATTGGCTTTATACTAGGTAAGAAGAGTTTATGGAGGCAAAGGATATGTAGATGAATCACAACTTCACCAACTAAAATATTTAGGTGCTGTCATTAAAGAAACCTTAAGGTTACATTCACCTGGGCCATTGTTAGCTCCAAGAGAAAACTACGAGAGTTGCGAAATTAATGGATATGTGATACCTCCTAAGACAAAGATTATTATTAATGCTTGGGCCATTGGAAGAGATCCCAAGAATTGGACTGACCCAGAGAAGTTTGAACCAAAGAGGTTTCTTGATACAATGGTTGAATACAACTTCAAAGGTTCAAAGTTTGAGTATATCCCATTTGGTGCTGGAAGAAGAATATGTCCTGGATCAACATTTGCTACGCCTATTCTAGAGTTGTTACTTTCCAATTTACTTTACCATTTTAACTGGAAACTACCAAAAGGAATGAAGGTTGAGGAATTGGACATGGAGCAGCCATTTGGTGCCGCAGTAAGGAGGCAAAATGATCTGATTTTAGTTCCTATTGGCTATTCCCCTTGAGTTTATGTGTTTAGTACCTGAATAGTGCTTTAATTAGCTGGTTTTAGATATCCTTGAATGTGTGTTGTTGAAGCCAGAAATAAATTATAAAAGATCGTTTTGCATTGAATATTTATTTTGTGGAAAATTATAAATTGGATGCTTTTTAATTTCAGAAAAGAGAGTAGCAAAATAAACCTTAAAATTGCGTAAACGATTTGTTTGTTTCTTATTATTAGTTCTCTCCAAGTCTCTGCAATATTACCTAACATTAAACTGATAAAATATAGGTTTAAATTTTTGTTGCTATTTTTTTATTCAATAATATTCAAAATTTATTAGCAATAATTAAAATTTCATTCAACAAGATTGATTGTAATATAATTCAAAGGTAACCCGGATTTTTCGTTTGTATAAAAAACTCTAACTCTATTTATTTCGATTAAAATATCACAATTTGTACGTGTGTGCTATATAATCTAAAAACGAATTCAACAAGATGCCATGGTTGTTGATTAAGCAACGAGACCCGCAAAATTTAAAGATTCGTGGACTTAATCTACAGACAATTAATTTTAATATTTTAATTTGAATCAGATGCTGCACTATTGCCCTTTAATTTTAAATTAATCAAGGGTCAGTGATTTAAATCGGCCGGGGTTAACGTACCCACATTGCCGATGCACTGTTATTCAAAGGTATGCATGTTGGGATTGGTAGGAAAAAAAATGTCAAAGTTGATGTGAATAAACTAAAGATCTTAAATCAATTAATGACAACAAATATTTATATATTTTTACTTAAATTTATGTGTTTGATTTGTTGCTTCAATAATGTTTCGACCAGTTTTAGTTACCCCTGAATCGATGTTGCGGAAGCCAGAAATGAATAAAAAAATCGTTTTGCTTTGAATCTTTTTTGTGTGTAAAATTATAAATTAGCTGCTTTTTTAAACCTTTTTTTTGTAAAATGCTTTTCTTAATAATTTATTCATAAAAGAGGGCCGCACCATAAATATCAAAAGAAAGTCCCTCCTTCAAAGAGGGAGAGAGTATATTTATAGTGGCTTGTTAATTTTGCATTTTTGTATCAAATTAAAGTTATAATTTCTAAGAAAGGAATTTCCGCTACAAACCAATATTAATTAGAGTGTATATTCTTTATCCCATCAATAATAAATAAGACTCTGGAGGAGCACAAAAAATTTATTATCAAGAAAATTACATATTAAAAAATTTTAAATTTAAATTTCATCAAAACAGTAAACACTTGACTAATGAGGATCATTTACTTCTGGAGCGGATCATTTACTTCTGGAGGGGCGGCTTCTCTCCATCTCCCTTCCGCAGCCCCGTCCCTGCATGCATGTACCTTAATTCGTGGGAATCTTTCTTCGTTAGCCAACAAGTAACAACATCATAATAAAACTTCAAATAAACATTGTTTGAACGGTAGCAAATTCAATGGCATAAAACATACGTCGAGCGAAAAGTAAAGGGAAAAAAATCATAAAGTCGATGGTTACGTAGAAATTTTAAATTACAATTCTTGCCTATAAAAGGCGGGCTTAACAACGCAAAATCTCACACTACTCACCTTTAATTACCATTCTTTCAATATGGACGTACAGATCCCATATTCCATCATCTTTTTCACTTTCTTTTGCTGTTTCTTTGTCATCCACAAACTATCTTCTTCCACAAAATCTATCAAAACCCTACCTCCAGGGCCATGGAAATTACCTCTCATAGGAAATATGCATCAACTCATTGGCTCACTACCTCATCGTTCTCTGGCAAATCTTGCGAATAAGTATGGTCCATTCATGCACCTTAAACTTGGACAAGTTTCTCATATCATAGTGTCTTCACCAGAATATGCCAAAGAAATAATGAAGAACCATGATCAGATCTTTGCAAACAGACCCAGAATTCTTGCCTCTGATATCTTTGCCTACGATAGCACAGACATCATCTTTTCCCCATATGGAAACTACTGGAGGCAACTTCGAAAGATCGGTACTTCGGAGATTTTCTCAGCAAAGAGGGTTCAATCATTCAGAAGGATCAGAGAAGAGGAGGTATCAGAACTCGTAAGGAATATTGCTGAACATGAAGGCTCTTTCATGAACCTTAGTAGAAAAATCTCCACGCTCACGAATTCCGTAGTTGCGAGAACGGCCTTTGGGACAAAGACAAAGAACGTAGACCAGATGCTGCAAATTATGGAGCAATCGATAAAGCTAAGCTCTGGGTTATCAATTTCTGATTTGTATCCGTCGCTGAAATTTATCAGCGTCATCACTGGGACGAGAGCTCGAATTATGAAGGTGCACAAAGATGGAGATAAGGTGTTTGATGACATTATCAGAGACCACAGAGAAAAGAAAAGAAATAATGATGGAGACACAGAGGAGGATCTTGTTGATGTTCTTCTCAGGATTCAAAAGGATAAGGACTTTGACACCCCCTTATCTCTTGACAACGTTAAAGCTGTTCTTAAAGTTAGTCTTCATATGCAGTTTATCATATTCTTTTTTGGCCTGATGCACTTTATCATATTGAATGTTACATAATTTGTAATTTATTTTGATACTCAGATTGCATAAATGCACATACACACATTCCTCTAATTAATTGTATGAATCCCATTTTCAGGATATTTTCTTTGCTGGAACTCAAACAACAGCAACTACAACAGAATGGGCGATGTCAGAATTACTCAGAAAACCAAAGGTCATGAAAGAGGCACAAGAAGAGGTATAGATAAAATTAGCTAGAATTTTGAATGTTGCATCAAAATTTTGTGGTTGTTTGTGTATACAAACATATATTACTCGTATAGTATCTAATGATACTTTATTTGATTAATTTATTCACATTGATTTATAAATTTGAAATTA